GAAAGTATATATTAACTTAATTTCTTTCTTTTAATTAATTTGTTTCCCTGTAAAATGGAGGTCCAAAACCATGGAATTGAAGAGGCCGTGATCGGTAACATGCTGAGTGTATCAAAGGAGTTTTTCCATTTGCCAGAAAGTGAGAGGTTGAAGAGTTTCTCCGATGATCCACTTAAAACCACGAGGCTGTCGACGAGTTTCAATGTCAAAACTGAGGAGATCTCCAGTTGGAGAGACTACTTAAGGCTCCACTGCTACCCTCTAGAGGATTACATGCATGAATGGCCGTCCAACCCTCCATCTTTCAGGTAATTTTCATGACATTTATCTAACAAATCGTGTTTTTATGAACGTTTAACATGACCAAACGGTTTTCGATTTGATAACCTAAAATATAAAACGGTTCTAATTGTTTAAATAGCCTTAGGAAAGATATATTTAACATGCAATTATACACATACAAGTTTTAAGAAAATTTCCTCTTATTATACAGTTTGATATGCATGTTAACTAATATCGTTATACTGTTAATAATTTGTATCATTCATTTGGCAAACTTCTGCAGAATTCTAAATATCGGCTGGCTTATTAAGAGCCTTATTAAATCAATTACAATATGTTAACTGAATTAGAATATTTTCTACAGAGAAGATGTGGCTGAGTATTGCAGGAATGTGAGAGGATTAGCAGTGAGACTGCTCGAAGCCATATCAGAAAGCTTAGGGTTAGAAGGGGATTACATGAACAAGGCACTGGGGAAGCATGGACAGCACATGGCAATCAATTACTATCCGACTTGTCCTCAGCCAGAGCTCACCTATGGCTTACCCGGTCATGCTGATCCTAATGTCATCACTGTTCTCCTTCAAGATGACGTGGCAGGCTTGCAGGTTCTCAACAATGGCAAATGGGTGGCTGTCAAACCCATCCCACATACTTTCATTGTCAACCTTGGTGATCAAATCCAGGTCAGTTAACTCTCTCGTAAGTCTAAATCAAATGAAGGTAATTAAAAATGCGTTCTAATACGAGCTTACGTCAGTTAAGGATGAGTACTGATTGATGGGAAGAGTGACCTTACATGGACTTATAAGTAAGTTAGGTTACTCTTTATATTGACAATTGGTTTTATGATGAAACCCCAACTTTTTTCATGATATTAGAGCAGCTTGCCCCTCGTATGAAGTCAAATCATATGCGCTTCACATCATCCCAGTCACACACACTCCACGTCACCAAGTTATGTTGTCCATGTGTATTATCAATTAGTTTATGATGAAATCCTAACTTTCTTCAACATCGATGGTTTAAATAATTGTCACTCGTTATTACATAATAATATTGATGGTAATGCTAGAAGGCTAAATTTATAGATAAAAATGTTCATTCATATTAATGACACATCATTTAGTTGTAAACTTTGTCTCAAAATTTAGTCTCCCTAACATTATCCTACAAAGAAATGTCTTAGCGTGGCTCATATTTTGCATGATTTTCTATTGGTGACATATCATTTAGTTTGTAAATTTTATCTTCAAATTTAATCTCCCTAACAGTACCTGTCAAAAATTTCTTAGCGTGGACCATACTTGCATGGTTGACAAGTGTGGCAAGTATTTGTAATCTCGAAGGGTAGAGTAAGGACTAGGCAATGGGTGGCACGTTATGTGACCCACAAAAAGGACAAGGATTGTCTACCCTCCTTGTTCTCGTGCTCTCCCGTGCCCTCATATTTTGTGTAGTCACGGTTAAACCACGTCAACATTTTATATTATTTTTTATAGAGATAATAAGACAAAAATAAATAGTAATATAAAATGTTGACGTGGTTTAACCGTGACCATACAAAACAGGAGGGCACAGAAATAAGTAGGGCAGGCAATCCTTGTCCCCACAAAAAAGCACAAAACTAGCCGAGATCCCGCCTGTTCAAATGGACAAGGATTGTCTGCCCTCCCGTACCCTCCTATTTGTGTGGTCACGGTTAAGTCACGTCAACATTTTATATTACTATTCATCTTTTTCTTATTATCTCTATAAAAAAAATAATATAAAATGTTGACGTAGTTTAACCGTGAACACATAAAACAGAAGGGCACGGGAGGGCACCAGAAGTGGAAGTACAAACAATCCTTGTCCCGTTCAAATTTCTTTCTGTCAAATGATGTTGGCATAAATATGGTGAGATCATCGCCGATGTACATATTTGATTAGGTCTTCCTGAATCCTGACACATAATAGTATCGATCCGTGGGTTCAAATTCAACAACAGAAACGTGTTCTTTACAACAATCTCTGCTCCATATAACACATCTTCAACCTTTTAATTGGACCGCCAATGATCCAGTGCTGCCTACAGAGTCAGTTTTGAAGAATCTACCGTTTGAAATATAATACAAATTTACCGAGTCTATGCAGTGCATAAATATGTGAAATCTCGATCTATTGGTCCAACTTATATAGTGTCATTTGTTGTGAGTGTGATGTCGTACCTCACGCCCACTGGTAGGTACTTAACCCTCACTCGTGCTAACAAATACTATTCTAACACGCACGCTATGCATGTCACACTGTAGTTTCACGATAATAATACAATATCGTACTGAAGCGTTGATAAAAAAACATGACATTGTATATTTGCTCAAAACACTACTATTCGGACAGATATATATAATTCACTCTCCTAATAATGGCGCACAGGTACAAATAATGTTCAAGAATACTTTATAAGTATTTTGAGCTGCATTAACATGTCTTTATCTTTTTTACGCTTGATTAGAATTTTTTGGGAAAACTTGAGCTATAAGAGCAACTCTACTCTTTAGGACGATAATTGCTTGCGCTATTAGGTAATTATTGGTTTAATGAATAGTAATTGTCTAAGGACATCTCCACCAGAAATAAATTGCCCGGGTAATTGGCATTAATTTTTTTTTTAAATATTATGTTTAATTTCAAATTCTATTCCTTTTAATTTTTTTTCTATTTTTTAATAATTTTGGTTTATTATCTTAAGACCTCATATATTGTTGAATAAGCCCCACATACTTAATACACCTCATATTTACTTTTTCAACTAAAAATTATCTTAACACACCTCACATACTCCTCCATAATACCCTCACACCCCACATTCACAACATACACCTTACATTTTCACATACACCCCACATTCTTTAAATCTTATTATATTAAAGTTCTGTTAGTCGATGCACCTGTTACCTTAAATAAAACATTATAAAAATTGATCTGAGTTTATATTCTTGCTTATGTGGTTTTCATTATTTTCCATGGAATGATCTTTCTTTTCCTTCTTTTTGTCCAACATAAAAATTGATCTGAGTTTATATTCTTGCTTATGTGGTTTTCATTATTTTCCATGGAATGATCTTTCGTTTCCTTCTTTTTGTCCAACAGATAGTTTTGCTACTTTGGCTTTCTCCTTTGCTTTCATTTAACATGTTGAACTATCTCCCGGTGACTCGTGTTAACGTAGAGGACTATGTGTTGGCATCTTGGTTAGGGATGATGGTATTCACTTGCTTTGTTTAAATACCGATTTAGTCATGAAGATCATTTTTTTACCAGAGCTCATAATTTACTAATCTATCTAAATGTCAAATCCGAAAAGTTCAGTGCCCACTGCCAATTTAGCCACAAAGATCTTTTTTTTTACCAGAGACCATTTATACCCTATTGTTCCTAGGTTAAAAATTCGGTTCTGCAATCATGCTTGAATGATATTGCAACCCCACCCATCCTAAGAAATAAACAGCAAGCATGCTTAAAAAAATTTAGCAAAAGAAAAAAAAAACACCACTAAACTATCTCAAAGAAGATTTGAATATTTCAGAATATATCTTTGTCTATTATGATGCAGAATACTTAACAGTTAATAAAAAAAACATAATGACCAGACATTGTGAGTGCAGGTGTGTACAAACTACAAAATTATAAATAAACTTGCGGGTAGTTTTAGGATTTTATTTTTCATGATTTGAGTGTAGGAAAAAAATAATTGCTTTTTTTAATTTTAGATTTTTTTGAGAAAAATAGTGTTTAAATAGTCATTTTATACAAGTCATTTAACATTAAATATTAAGTGGGGTGTATTCAATAATTTGTGAGGTGTTATTAAAAAAACCTATAATTTTTTTTTTTATTTTGTTCCAAATGAATGATACAAACCGTTGGATTACAATTTGTGCAATCCAACATCCCATGTTGTACCACATGGGCTCAACCATTTTTCAGATTTTTTTTTAAATTAAAAAAGGTAGATTATTGTGGATCGTCAAATTTGAGAAATCCAAAGGCCCACGTTTGAACAGAAACTGAGTGCACCTGAGCACGGGTCCCACCAACACTTTTTGGTCAACTCACTCTCCTCACTCGCGCATGAAGGCCACGCACCTGATGCACACCAAAAAAAAAAAATCTAAAACGTGATTGACGTCGGATCCACTAAAGTGGACACAGGGGAAAGAATGACCCAATTGCTTGGTCTAGGGGTGGTGTTGGGCCACTGAATGGCCCCATTGATTTGGGGTAAGAGGATTGCATCACCCAATTGCAAGGGGAATTGTGAGGGGGGTGGTGTTGCTCTAAGGAATAAGCTGGTTCTAGCCATTCCGATATAAGAAACCATGTATCTTTTCCCATAGTAGAACTTCAACCTTTGCTAACTGCATGTGTGCGCCTTATCAAATTTTTTACTTCACAGGTTCTTAGCAATGATCGTTACAAGAGTGTACTCCATCGGGCGGTGGTGAATTGCAACAAGGAAAGGATCTCCATCCCAACATTCTATTGCCCATCGTACGATGCCGTGATGGAACCAGCCCCACAACTGATTGATGATCGTCATCCTCCCCTCTACAGGAGCTTCACTTATGCTGAGTTCTATGAAAAATTCTGGGACCGTGGCCTTAACACTCGATCCTCTTTGGACTTGTTTAAGACCACTTCTCATTCTGCTTAATGATTTCATCTGCTACCCCTCAATTTCTCGATGCTGCATGTTCAACATTTCAGAGCTTCTAGTTAACAGTAACAATAAATCCAATACTATGTCTTTGTTATCAAATATTTAAGAAATAAAGGATCAAGTGATCAACTTCCCATAGTATATAGGTCATAACTGATGTTGGATCAATTTTCTCTTTTTTGCTTACAGTGGTGTAAGAAAATCGAAACCTTTTGTTTAACCACTTGAGCTAACTCGCAAGGGCGTCCCACCATTTCCGAGATAGCAACAATCATGCCGTTGATTTGATGAAAAATAATAATTCCAACAGCTATGGGCTAATTGATTCAAGGCTGTAAATAACTGAAAAAATGCATGGCTCTTGTATCTCTAAGTTATATAGCTAGAAAAGGATTGTCACGTGTCAGCTGGTTAGGGAGCCAAGTGAGGAGAAAAGTCTGGCTCCTTAAGGTTGAGGAGTTTTGTGAATTTTGGAAGGTGGTAATTCACCAATTCTCATTAATTCAATTCTCTGTACAATACTACTATCTGTAGCCATATGTTTACAATCAATTCCTACTAACTAGCCACTAATTGACAGCTTATAATACAAGATAGGAATGTAATCAATTACAATGTATTAATCCTTGATATCATTGACTCATAATATTGGCAAGTATCTTGATGATGATCCTTGACTTTCTCAACACTCCCCCTCAAGTTGGTGAGTGAATGTTGCGAACTCCCAACTTGGCTAGCAAAGAATGAAATCTTTCCTTCCCAAGAGCTTTAGTGAACAAATCAGCAAGTTGTGATATGGAAGGAACAAATCCCGTCACAATTTTTCCTTCCATAATCTTATCTCGAACAAAGTGACAATCAATCTCAATGTGCCTCGTTTGCTCGTGAAACACCAGATTTGCCACAATATGAAGAGTAGCTTGATTGTCGCACAACAAGGTAGCCGGCCCTTGGTCTTGAATTTGAAGATCTCAAAAAAGACTTTGGAGCATGCAAGCTCACAACATGCTACTGCCATAGATCTACATTTGGCTTCAGTAGAAGATAAAGATACGGTTTTCTGTCGTTTGCTTTTCCATGAAATAAGGCTATTTTCAAGGAAAACATAATAATCAATAGTTGAACGCCGAGTGGTAGGACATCCTGCCCAATTGGAATCACGATATGCCTTTAACTTCAATGAATTCTAGAAAGAAACATCATGCCTTGCCCTGTTGTGCCCTTCAAATACTTGAGGATGCCTAGGGCTACTTCATAATGAGACTTTTGAGGTGATTGCATGAATCTACTCAATAAATGAACTGAATATGTANGCTCTTC